AGGGAAAGAAGACCTATTTGGTTCACCTGTTGCAATATAAAATTTGTGAGATATTGACTTGAGAAGCATCAGATGGGAATATACAGAATAAAAGGAATAGCAGGTAACACGGGAAGGTCATGGAAGAGCCAGCTTTGTGTGAATGGCATTGTCTGTAGTCTCAGTGGCTTTGACTACATAATTGGCAGGAGTGTATATGCAGCGATTACCAGAAATACTGAATTAAACAGAACCAGGGGCAAAGGTTCTTCCTGTACATTTGTCTTTGAACATACCAAAATCTGTTTTGAGGTTTTTTTTTTTTTTTTTTTCCTCTTTACAATACTTGCAGTGGTATTGGAAATACTAAAAGCTAGTGCCATTCTGAAGGGCTTTCATTTAAAAAAAACAAAAACAAAAAAAGACTGACCAAATTAGACAACTGACTCATCACATACCTGTGAGGACTTCAAAATTCTAGTATAAAAATTTTAGTTTAGCAGGCAGTTTCAAGAAAGCAGTATATGTAGCATCATTTTAGTCCTGTAGTAAATGATAAAACCACAACATTTCTACTGAAAAGTCAGTTTGTACTTTAATATAATTGCTGCCAGGGCAGATACATTACGTTTACCAGCAATCTGAAATTAGCTTCACAGTTTTAACTTACTATTGCTGAATACCGATTGTCAAGTCATGATACCTGTGGTTTAAACAACCTCTTCATGTAAGGATAAAGGAAGCTTTTCAGCAGGTGGCTTGGGGTTTTTTGTGTTTTTTAACTGAGTAATCTGTACAGGTCTTCCATAAGTTCCATCGCTTCCACCTTCATTGTGTTAACACTAGACAATAAGGATAGGAGTTTTTTTTTGAAGGAACAAGATAAAAACCAAAATTTGATTTTATCTAGAGTAGCTGCATGGAGTTGTATGGAATGGAGGGAATCTGGATTTGGAATCACAAATCAAAAGTGTGCGTGGGAAAAAAGCCTGGGTTTAAGCCAAAGAACTGTGTAACAAAATAAAAAAATAAATTGTTGCAATATATTGTTAAGGGGAACTTACAGTTTTAATTTTTTATCTTCAGTGCTCACCATGGCCTGATACTCCTACAACTTTTGTAAACAACAGTCCTACTCCTGCTCCAGCTTTTACCTCTGCTCAACATAGTACTTACAGTGTCCCCGACAGGTAAGTTTCTTTTCTGTAACCTAATTTAAGATAACATTTTAAAATCCCGCTTAATTAAAAGTACTTTTAAAGTAAATCTGGAAGCTTGCAACTGTTTCCAGTTCTGTTGGGGAATGACAGCTAGATTAATGTCTTGACTTATTGATTTATTTTAGAGTTGGACCCTTGCATCAAGTGATTCAACTATAAAATAACTTCTTTTGCCCCCAAATGCCGTTTTTCTTTCTCGCTATTCACTGTTGGGAACTTTTCGTCTTGTCCTTTGGTGTACAGCAAAGGCTATACCTTTCAAACATTCTAATTTAGTCCTTATCAGTGTATGAAAACTATATTGCTTCTTCCAGTAAGCACATACTCCACACCCCTCATTTACCCTGTTAATGTAATTTGTAAGAAAAAAAAAAAAAAAACAAGAATAATCTTTAGAAGCTTTTTAACAGACATTGTATAGGTAAAAACATTTTGCATTAAGGCATTAAATAAACTACTGCAATTAAACTTGGATGATCAAGGATTGATTTGTAGTGGTATTGTCTGGCCTATACACTTTTCTTCCGCGTGCCTTATATTTTACTATCTCTGTCTCAGTCACCGTTTGTTTTCAAGACAAGTAACTGGCCATATATCCTCCTGTGAGTGTTGGTAAAGCTGCTTCTCCAACTGATAGAGAATAGGAACCAGATGACTTGCATACCAAAGTGTGACAGTGTTTCCCTTACTGTTTAACTTTACTAAGTTTCTCCCTATGTTGTTTTTGTCTTTGAATGGAGACATTTATTGTTTGGGGAATTTCCTATTATCTTTCACTAAGCTTGAGTATTTTCTTCATAAGACTCTAGTAATACTATCTTTTTCTCTCTCTCTCTCTCTCTCTCCCTCTTTCTCTCTTAGCAATTCTTCCTCCCCAAATCATCAAGGAGATGGAACTTCTCAAGGCTCTGGAGATGTGAGTGTTTGTTCTCTGGTATTGATCATGGCCGTAGTTGCACAAAGGCTTATGTTTGTTTCAGTACATTTGATTTATACCTAGCTTGATGTTAATGTGTATTGAGGAAAAGTGCTTAACTGAGTGAGATTTTTTTTCTTTTTTTTCCTTTTTTTCTTTTTTTTTTTAATACCCACATTATCATATTCAACCTTGTTTCTTACAGCAACTTCATCCTTCAGCCACAATCCAGGAAACTCAGCAATGGTTGCTCAAACATAGGTTCTCTACCTATACAAGGCTTTTTTCAAATTTCTCAGGTATATATGATATAACTTTTTATTTACAGTTTTTCTTTGGGTTAACATGCAAGTTTGGTGTGGGAAATATTCTGTAAAAATAAATTATAGAATCAATATTTAGTGTAACTTTCTAATTTGCTTATGAAAAGTTCAGTTTGCATTGGAAGATAATTTTATTCTAATTTCCTGTTGTGCAAATTGACCCGATACCCAAAAGTGAAACTAGGTTCTATTTTCCTGATGACGGCTCACAAACTCATTTTAAGCTTGATTAGTCCCTTGATAAAAATGAATGAATTTGAGTCAGCGAAGCAGACCATCTGCTTTGGTATGCTGTTTCCTAATGGCAGCCAGTATGTGGTGATCTGGAAGAAAGGGCAAAAAATTACTCATTAGGTAGTTGTAGAGTATTTGATACCTTCCCCGTGATAGATCTTTTCTTTGGGGTTAGATTTAACTATAACATATGAAGCTTTCATTCCTTCCAAACTCTGAAGCTCTGGACAGTCTTCGAAGCCACAGAAATGGCAAATTCTTTTTTGCAGTGAACTCTGCTTGAAGGAAAGAACAAATTTCAAAAGAACAGGAAAGTTTTTACCTATACGTATGTCTACATTTTTTTTTCCCCCCCCATTTCCAAAAAAGTCTGCTTGCTCTTTCCTAAATGCGTATCAGTGTAGTTTCCACTATAGGCGTGTAAGCACGAACGGCAACAGAGGCAGTGTCTGGAGCTATGTTATTGCCCTTTGCTTCCTTAATCTTCCATATAATTACATGAAGGGTGAGATGGCACCTTACGCAACTGAGTGAGCACGATCCCTTCTCAGTTCTTTGTTGTCACACGTGATGGAGAGAATGTGATGAATGACTCCATCGTGCTCTGCCTCCTCGCTTAGCCCATACATCTTTCAGAAGTCCTTTCGTACCAGGCCACTGTCACCGGTTGAGATCATGTTCCTTCAGCTTGATCTTGTAAGGACTGCAGCCTGCCTATAAAGTAGGGGTTTTCTGATGTGGCGTTCCTGACATCCGTAAGACTTATTAAAGCTTTGTCTTTTCTGTAGCTAATTATTTCTATTTGCAGCTGCCTAAATGTTTCCTGCCTAAAATCCATGCTGTCTTCTGCTAGGAAGTGCAAGTTTTATGAAGTAAGCTCATGCTTAGCCTTTGAGCAAGTTGTGAAGGTACCATCTATCTTCTAAGAGCTCACTAGTGAATGAGCCAGTGTTGCAGTAGGCTCTCCAGCAAACAGCATGGTTACATGGCATTGAGAAAACAATTTAGATATAGTTATGGTGACATCAATATGGGCAGTAATAACTGAAACTTTGTATTCGGAGACTGCAAAGGACCCCAGTGTTTTCCTATGCACAGGCAGTATAACTTCTCCAAATACTATTCAGCAGACGGTCACAAGATATTGAGGCCTGTAGAAAAGTTGCAGCTTTTGACACGTAAGAACGTGACTTCTTCCTGAACAAACAAAATAACCACAAATGTGTAAGAACCACTTGGCAGTCCTGGAGGTCTCTGCATTAAATTGGTGCCTTTCCTGAATTTTGCTTCTCAAAGTGGCACAGTACACCTAGCAAAGAAACCTTGTTCCTGCACATCTGTGGGCAGTGCCACTGCAAGATTCCCTTGAACAAACAGTATCTCCAGGCTCAAGACCTGACGCGCTGCGTCGCTGATAATCAGTGAGATGCTTTTATTTTAAATACTATAGGACGTAACAGAAATGCACAATGTTTTAGTCATCCCTCGCAGTGTTAGAAATTCACCATTTATTCTTCTGCTTGTGGTCGGTTTTTGACCTATGCTTCTTATGCTATGACTGCTCAGCTTTCCTAGTAAACTTTAGTATGAAATTTCTGAAAAGGACCCTTTGAAAACTTTTAACCAGTTCTTTATCATCTTTCTTTGTTCACAGGCATCTAATACTATCTTGCTAATCTGTTTCATTTGAAGCAAGAGGTGTAGCTTTTATTATGTTCCTTCAGATTTTTTTTGATATAGTACTTAAAGGTTTATGACAAATTTTTCTAGCTGGCTTTTACCCATAACTTCTTAGATCTTCTGTGGAATATTTTCATAAATAAGGTAATTTTTTTCTGTCTTTCCACTTGTCTATCACAGTAACTGATTTTTCAAACTGTTATTTACTTTATTGACACCTATGCCACTTCTAAGAAGTATACTTCCTTCCATTCTGTCTTTAGATCTGTTTAGTATCATTTTATAGAAGCTTCTTTTTCTGAAGTTAATTTCCTGGGAAGCAGTTGTTTTCACAGATCACACGGTATTCTCAGGCTCATTTAAAAAAAAAAAAAAAATTACTTATGTCCAGAAATATCCCACAAGGTGCATCCCACCCCATAGGCTGCTGATCTACTGGCTTGACAACCCTGAGTTAGTTGACGCAAACCTTCAGCAATATCTTCTAAGGAATAAAATGTAGTAACTTACGCACGTGGCAGGGTATGATATACTAGTTGAATGCCTGTCATGATTCAGTTTAAAGTCATTGCTTAGAATAAACCATCATGTATTTTGCTCAAATACACTAACCCAGGTGTCAGCTAAAACTTTTGAGTCGCTTAAGCCATCCTCTTACATACAGATACAGAACAGTCATCTGCCTCTACTAAAATTGCATGTCTTGCAGTTTTTCTGTTTTTTCCAAAAATGTGGCCGCCATCAAGTGAAACTAATTGCCTTTGGCAAAATCAGGCGTTTTTCATAATGCTAGCTATTGCCTATTCTAAATTGTCCTTGCTTGTTCATGTTTGCAGGATTCCACTTTTATAACGGTTGCATTTGTTACTCTTGGTTTAAATGAGTTTCTGATTTCTTTTTTAAAGTCTAGGTGTTCTACAATAAACTTTAAATCTGCATGTGTTTCTCCAGGTGCTGATTTATTAAAGCTGACAAGAGAAGATCTGGTACAAATCTGTGGTCCAGCCGATGGAATTCGGCTATATAATGCACTGAAATCCAGGTAAAATTCTGAATGTGAAATTGAATGGTTTTTGTCCTGTTGTAGACTAGAATCCCCCATCCTTGGAGTAGGAGATCTGGGAGATCACAGTTCAGCAACTGGATGGGCATATGCCTGTGTGAGCTGTCTCGAGCACTGGCATGAATATGCTCAAGAAGAAGACTTTGTGTACACCTTCAGGGCAGAGCACAGAAGAGATGCAGATACTGATGCGTTCAGAAGTAGACTGTGAGACTGGTAGCAAGCAGTTGGGCACTACTAATTTCTTGGAGACAGATAAATTTATTGCCAAGAAACAAAGCTTCTCATTTAGGTGAGATAAAAACAACCATAAGTCTTTGAGGTTACAGCTAGTAATTATCAACACATACAGCATCCTAACTGATCTGTCTGATTCTGACTGAAATGGGTATTTACTGCCGTTGACCTTTATAAGAATTGTCGCTGCTCTTCATCCAATCATTACGTTCCAGGATTCCAATAAGCAGTGTTTTGATGAATGTGAACTGATTGAAATTTTGTTTAAATCAGGTGTGCTAGCACTTGAGAGACCAGTCATTGCTTCTGATATTGAATCATTAGATGAATTTTTTTTTTTTTTTTTTGGTCTGAGAAAGAAAACATTTTAAGTTAACTATTACCGTAATGAATTCATATTTGTGACGCATCAGTTTCCTTATTTTGCCAAGAAAGTAAGCCTTTCTTTAACTTGTGATCGGTTTGAATTGCAGGTCTGTTAGGCCCCGTTTAACAATCTATGTCTGTCAGGAGCCATCAAGGAGCATACAACTGGAAAGACAAGATGCAGGCAATGGTGATAACAGCAATGGTGCAATATATGGTATGGCACATCGGGAGTTTCTAACTTTTTTTTTTTTTGTCTGAACACATATAAAACAAGATGGGTGAGAAGGAAAAAAAGACTAGTGAAGAGGTCTGTAATGGTTTGTTTTTTCAACAACTGGAATTGGGTTTCTGGTATACAGATAAACTGCAGGAAGTTGTCCTCAGAATGTAAATGTCCCAACAAGTGTTGGGATGATGACAGAGCAGTTGTAACACAGCAAAGGATGAACAGGAACTTAAAACCTCTGAAGACTAAATCACAGATTTTTTTCAGTCCATTGGTAAAGTCAACTGTAGTTACTTGGAGAACTAATTAAGGAGCTCTCAAATTAGCTGTGTGGTGTTGTACAGCCAAGATAATAACTAGGTGAACGTAGACGAACATAAAAGCTAGCTGCAAATTGAAGACTTACATTCTTGCCCATTTTCAGTTACGTTCTACTGTCCTCGTCTATGCAACTGAAATAAAAATGGCATGGTCTGGAGAAGGGAAAACAGCCAAGCTGTGTACTGGCTCATGATTTTAATATTATTTTCCTGGGAGGCAGCTGTTGTTCCAACACAGATGGGAACTTAATGTTTAATTGCAAATTCACAGCAATCTTATAATTAAGAGCATGGAGTGATTTGAAATTATTATTCTCTTGCTCTTGACTTTGAGGGAAGAAACACCCCACCCCCATTCCCCACCAAGAAATCTGTAGAATCCTTACAGGCTGATGCTGTAACAGTGCTTGTGTGTTTTCCACGCAAGAACCAGGGGTGGAAGAGGATCTGTAAGTAGGACGCTGTCTGTCAGAATATCTAGGTTTTTTCCTTCAAATGTCTTCAGTTTGCAGTTTGGGATGGAAGAGTGTCCATGCATGGAACGGCTAAGGGCTTCTAGCACCATTAATTAAAGCTGTAAAACTGTAACTACAACATCAAACTATGAGTAGCTACTTCATGATACTGTTCTGTTTGTTTGCTCTGCCATATTTCCCCTCTCTGTCTGAATCATTTCCTCAGAGCTGCAGAGTTGAAAAAGGCAAAAGGCTTTCTTTACCCAAAAAAAAAAAAAAAAAAAAAAGTTTGGATACCCATTTAACGCAACAGCATAGTATTACTGGTAAAAAGTATTACCTGCTTCTTTTGAGACAGTCCAAAACTGTTCCCAAAGTCATCCTTAGATGACTCTTTAAAGATCCATTTAGTTCTGTTTCAGAGATGACTAAGTCTTTTTGTGCAGGATACTGGAAAAAAATACGGAAGTTGCCTTCAGTATCAGAGCAAGCAAAAGCTTACCCCTATTCAGAGAGTTGTACTTACAACAGATTTACTTTGAAAGAAAAGTCAGGGCAGTTTATGCTTGCTAATGAGAACAGGAGGACAGTAAAGTAAAGTCTTTCAGCTGTTAATTTTTTTGAAAGCAAGGACTATAAACAACAAACCTTTTAATGTAGTTACTTGTTCTAAATTAGTACAATGCTTATTTAAATAGATTTTTTTTTCTTTTTTTGCAGTTTATCATGCAATCTACTTAGAAGAAATGGCAGCCTCAGAAGTCACACGCAAGCTTGCTTTGGCATTTAATATTCCTCTGCATCAGATCAATCAGGTTTACAGACAGGGTCCCACTGGTATCCACATTCTTGTTAGTGATCAGGTAATGGGGATTTTACTTTATTGATTTTTTTTTTTTTTTTTATTAATTGAATGGAGGAGTTTCTCATGCAGGCTTCTTTAGTTACCGTTATTTCTGTTTGATGATGCAACCTAGTGTCTTCTGATGTTTTGACTGTTTTTCTTCTTTGCATTAAAATAAGCAGAAGCAGCCTTTAAACATGTCACTTTAATCTCTTCCTCATACCTGAATAATTTCAAACTATAAGAAGTGAAAGACACCTGGCCTTCCTTCTTATGTAGTGCTGAGATGCTGCAGTAATTAGTTGGTATGTAGTGAGCATGCCAAAGGCAGGAAGCATCTAAATAATGTTTAAATACCCTTGAACAGGGATTACTCGAGCATCTGCCACAATTGCATAGGCTATGGTGATAGGCTCCCAACTGGTGGTCACATGGGGTGAACTGAGTAGTAACACGCGATTATTTTAACAGTAATGAATTTTAATTTATTTTAGTGTATAACTGTCGTCTTTAAACACTTGCTGAATAAAACCAAAATATGCAGTTACTTATAAAAGGCTGTGCTTAATGTCTGGTGTAATTTTTTTTCTTTTCTATTGGTCATACTCAGGATGGTTCACACTGTTCTTTTTTTTCTGTAGATGGTTCAAAACTTTCAAGATGAGAGTTGTTTCTTATTCACCACAATAAAAGGTAGGGTGTCTTTTATGATAGTTAAAAACATAATTTTTTTTTATTCCACCAGGGAGACTTACTTGCTTAAAGCAGAGTGCTATTCTAGTACAACACCTTCAAGGAAAGCGCTATGGCAGTGCCAGTAAAGGCTGACTTGTGAGAAGGAAACTGCATACAGTAGTGGCAGAAAGCGTTCGCAAGTCTCTCTCCTTTCCTCGCCAGACCTTTCACGTTCTCTGTAGCACTTCAGTGTTTTCTCCAAGCTTTCAACTCGGAACTAGTGCAGCACTTGGTAACAAACCTCATTTTAAAATTCAGTCACTCGACATGGAAGAGTGCTCACTATTACGGTTACTGAGCATGGTGAATTTTCAAAATAATAATTAAAATCTGTCAGCAGGTTTAAGTTCAGAAACAAAATGTTCACCAAGTCCTGAGAGTTGGCAGAACTGAGCTGTAACATTTTGTGCTTTCATTGCTCGTAATCATCTTTAGTACCTTGTTGCTGTAGAGGGGACCTGGCCTTTTTGCTCACGCAAGACAACGCTGTGTCTCCTCTGCCTAACAGAGGCTCACGTTTATCAATTTGTTGTTCCCTGTAAACTAGTAAACTTAACCTGGAACATTCATAGAATAAACTCTTCCAGTACTCTCAAACAGGTAGACTCATTTAATTGCATATATGCAGTTAAACTGGGATTAATCTGAACTTAGTCTATAAAGAAAGAGCATTGTTCAGGTTTCCTCAGTAGGTGGAGTGAATCTCCCTTTTCACACTAGTTGTCGAGATGAACACCATGTTTTTGTAGAAATCCCATTTATTTTTGTGATAAAAGTTGGCAGCAGTTGCCACAACCAGTAGACAAGTTTGACTCTCTGGACATTTTAATTAAAAAAAATTGTCCCAACTGTGACGAGCCAACTATAAATTGTTAATCATAACTTATTTGCTTCAGCATGAGGAAAAAAACTTTAGATTTTTTTTTTGCTGTACACAAACTGTTTTCTTTAGAAAGCCCACTTCAGTTTTTGCAGCGTTTTGATGTGAAACCAACATAGTATAAAAGTCTATTTCTGTAATTAGTATTTAGTTACCTGTTTGTCTCAGTTGTTAAGCCTTTTGATGGTGCTGCTAGCTTAAGTAAGTGTAAAAATCCCCAGGATTTTATTTAACGTCGTTTCCATTTGGTTTTCTAGCTTAAGGCTGAGCATCATAAAATAGATGATTAAAAGCCAGATACACTAAGGATATGTATTGGGCTTGCAGATGATGGCTTTCTTCTATGATAGTAACTGCAACTGTCAAATCAGCTGGTTTTAATATGCAACAGGAAGAGTTCAGAAATAACTGCAAACTGGAGAGATTTTAAAAAGTTAATTCTTCAGGCATTTAGTCTGAATAGCAATTTACTCACGTTTCATTTTTCAAATTTTACTATGTCACAGTCTCTGTAATTAATAAAGAACAAATAAGTAAGTTCATTTTTTTGACATTTTGGTGGAGCTGCTGCTAGTATATCTGTGGTTCTGCTTATGAAAGACTACCGCTTCTTTCTCTTTCAGCTGAAAATGAAGGTTTCCATATAATTCTGAAGTGATGTCACACATGTGCTAGACTGAAATTTCAATGCAGACTGAAGTCCTGCCTAAAGATTATGAAGATCATCCAAAAACTTGGGATCTAACTTCACTGTATAAGATGTTTCATATTGAAAACACAAAATGACCTTTCTAATGAGCTGTTTGATAGGTGAACTTTCTTATCACTGCCATAGCTAAGTGTCCTCATGAGAGGTATAATGCCATGACAGCTTACGTACAGGCATGGAAGACAATGTAAGCAAAGGTGCTTGCCCTTTCCTGAAATAAGGCAAAATATGGCCAGTAGATACAGTTTCTAGAAGTGGAACACTATTCCTCTTCTATTATCTGTATCCAATTGGAGATGAATGTAAACTTATTTTAGGGCATTTACCTTTCTGTGCCAGTTTGTCTATTACTTGCTTGTACCTTATGCTGATTTTATTTTTTGATGTTAGCAGAGCACATATTAATCTGTGTGGAGATGAGTAGTTAAGCTGATAGTGATCAGGTTGTCAGGTCTTTGAGAGTAAAGCTGTTAAAACAGCTTCCCATGTAAATTGTGTATAAGAGTGTATGTAAGAAGTGTAAATGCCAGAATAGGGCTTTTAGGAAGTCCTAGACAGATGCAATATATGCATGCAGCAAACTGCATTATCAATTGTACCTTACTGGAAGGATTAATATAAATCCTATGGGGTACCAAGTAATTGTGTTTTGCTTTAACAAATTTAATGGAAAAGAATTGCCTATGCATCCTTTATCTTTAGTTTCCTAGGTTCTCTGCAGAGCACTGCTGCAGTTTAACTCTTTGCTTGTAAAATTGTGGGTTTAAAAATACTAGCAGTGAGACATGGATTTTTTTATGACTTCTTAATGGAATTACGCTAATGAGGGACATCATTGACCCACTGGCACCAAGGGGCCATCATAGCTTTCAGCAACATCAAATAAATTGTTTAAGAAACACTAAATATACACCATTTAAGTCTCCTTACCAGCAGGTAAATGCCTTGCTGTAGTCACTATTATGGACAAGTATCTTACCTTTTCTGTTGACTTTTCTTTGCCCTCAAATCCACACTGTAAAACTGTTACAGTGCCTCTTCCATATGACCAAATATTTACTTTACTTTGAAACAAGCAATGTGCTTTTTCAGTATTTTGGATATTTCGTGTAAGGACAGGGCACTGCATTTCCTATGTTAACAAAGGCTCAACTGTTGAGGTACTTAAAGGTGGGGGAATATTTGAAAAGGTATGAAATGACAGTTTGATATCTGCCATTTTGCGCCTTTTGAAAGTTTCCACCTTGATCTCTAGCTTAAAACGCTTGGGAACAGTTTGCTTTTTATGCTGCAGTGTGCATTGTAAACAACTACTACAGCATGTTAAAAAAAGCAACTTTGATTTGTCATTCCCTCTTTCATAACTGGCTCAAGTGCTTAGCAGAAAAGCTTCTTAAAGCTGTAGCATTTTGAAAATTTAAATTCATGGAAGCTAGGTTCCTTCCTATTTCACTTTTTCTGCACTGAAAGTAAAATTTGATGTACTTACTTAAACATTTCTGCCTATAAATTGTTCATCTATGGGTATTGTTTGGTCCTAGTATTTTATTGAACTGACAATTGTGTCTTTTCAACTTAGCACCATTTTCAAATCCAAATGTTTTATAAAAGTGGAAAAATCCTTGATCGAAAAGTATCCAAATATCTAATTTTAAAGAATATTGAAAGTTGTACAGTAGTTTGTCCAGCTCACTTGAAATTGGAATTAAATTATGGCACCAGCAAATTGCTTTTGTTTTTTTTTAAATAAGAAGATGTACACATTTCAATTTAAGTATAATAAATGTTTTTCAATAATTTTTTAAATGTGCTTTTTTCTTTTTATTTTCCACATTTACTTCTACTATATACTAGAGATACCTTTGCTATTAAGATGTAGAAATTGCAAGACCTACTCGAACAATTCATTTTAAAAAAAGGTACATAACTGAACCAAACCACTGCTGTAATTTTTCCTGCACCCAACACACACAAAGAGCTGCTGCTTCTAAGAGAAGACTTCAGATTTGAAATAATTGAAACAAATCCAAATTTGACATCAGCTGATTGTTTATTTAAGTGTCCTATATCAGAGTAGGTTCCATTTGTTTTTGTACATCTTTAATGCCATAGACTTACAACATTCGTTATGTTCTTAGAAAAAAAATGAGCCAACAAAAGGCAATACATTTTGACATACTGGTACCAATGACTTTCCTGGTACAGCTGAGAATAAAATCTGCTTAAAACTCTCCATTATAGTAATATCTTAATGGAAATCTAAGTATGATTGTAAGAACACTCCTTTACTACTGTGCAAAACAAGCCATAGTTGGCTTATTAGCAGTAGTAAAGAAAGACATTCATCTACTGCAGTATAATAATCTTCAATTTAGCCTCAAAGTTCAAATCTGAATTTGCCATCTGTAGCATCACAAATGCAACACAGCATATTAGCAACACAGTTTTGCCCTAGAAGGCTCTTAATGGTCACACTCGCTTTTTAAAAGCGTTTCTAAACATTGGGGAAACTGCAGTATTATCCAGTAGTTCCACCGACTGCTTTTTAATAAAGCCAGTATTTCTATTAGGTTTGAGTAAACAAACACACAGGCCCTGGCTGCTTAAAACCTACACGTGCACACACACGCGCACACACTCTCAATCTTACACAGAAACGTTTTCTGAACAGTTGAGAAGTTTATCTATCTTGGATAATTAGGTTGCTTAATATAAAAAGTTGTTTATTTACTCTCTAGCACTGAAAAACTAAGGATGAAAGCATGGCCTTAAGAGTTAGTTAATACTTAAGATTTTTATTATTATTTTTCTTCAGAAATTGACAGCTGCTTAAATAACCCAAATGTGAAGTTTGGCTTTTTACATTTTTTTAAAACAACAGGTTTGGTTTGGTTCAACTCCTGCCTACAGGTTTATTTTGCCCATCTGCTTGCTATAGTCCCTAAAAATGGGCTGGACAAACAGCTGGGATTGAACTCCTTGCTCCATTGTAGATTCTGTAGAAGAGCATAAATCTTGTATCCCTCTTCCTAGAACTGCTGCAGCTTTTCATCACAAACCGAGGTAACAGAGCACACGGTAATGGCATTACAGTAAGCACCATGAATGATTGTGGCAGCCAATTACAGTAGAGTGCACAAGCTCTACCACAGTGGATTCTTTAGTCCTTTAAAGGCTGACGGCATTGGGCATAAAACGTGCTTCAGTAACCAGCAAGCTTTAGAGGAACACACAGTTCAATTGAACCAAGTTCAAAAATCTGAAAAAATATTTCTATAGTTATCTGGAGGTACTATCTTACCTTTCGACATCACCTATTATGGCCCGTTTTATGTAACCAAATATGAAGCTGAACCATGAAAGAGAGTACACTGTTGTGCTCTAAGAGCTCATGATTACCTTGCATTTTTTGGTCAAAATCTGCTAAAGCTGATTTGTCCTTAAACCTGATATTTAATCTGTCTTGTATGTTACAGAGCAGCAGTTTCATGTTTTGTGTGTGACTGACTGGAGCCCCACGTCATTATATTAGAACTTCACACGGAACAGTGCTTACAAATGCAAATCTACTTCCAGGTTTAGTGAACTTCCACAGAGTAGCTGCTACACTGAAACGCCCCCACATTTTACACAGTACTTCAGTTCTCATGCCAACAGAAGGATGGAGGTATCAAAACAAACCAAATAACAACACCTACTTAATCCACATCGGCATATCACTTAAGATTCTTTTACCTGGAAAAATGCTTTTCTTGTCACAAAACTGGATGACCAAACATAACCATTACGACTGTCATGAAACTGACTCCTCCCCAACCACCTTCAGTCCAATTCTTTTCTTCAACGACCGAAAAAAAAAAAAATAGAATTTTCTGTGTGATGCACTTACTGTCAAAGAATAATACAGCATCTGCAGAGGCGCTGTCCACCCCCTCCTACCGAAGGAGGGGGAGTTACTGGAGCAAAGTAAGCGTGAACTTTCACATGAGGTAGATGAGCCTGTGGATGAAAATTCTGTGTCTTAGTGGGAGAGAATAAAAACTTAGCTAGTAAGTAGGAACGTACACCTCAACTACTGCCAAGCCAACTCTCGTTAAGGTTGGTAAGCTAAAAAGCATTACGCACTTGATATGATTTAAGCTGTCTTGTCCTGACACGGATTTCTAGTGTTCCATCCAGCTAAGCCACACTAACATTTGGGCACACTCACCTGTTTGGGGTCCCACTTATTTCCCAATATAGCACTGATCAGCCAAAGAGCTCTCTGTCAAAACAGGTATGTGTTCTGCTGCAGAAGAGAGATGGATTCCTGGCTACTGAAGAAAGACTTGTCTGTATCTCGTCTCCCATATTCCCCTGGTTCTCTCATCCTAGAAAGCAGCATGGAATAGAACAGGGCATCTGCCCTCAGTAGTCACTACCAGGGATGAGCTTCCCAATTTCAAAAGTGTTTGGAGGTGAACCTGTGTAGTACTGAGCTGCAGACAAGATTAGCATGGAGGCTAAATGCTGTTCCCAAGTTAGGCCGTCCCTGATCTAACAGGGGAAGTACATGGAGGAAGAGTTTTAATTTGTGGCTGGATTCCAGGGCCTAACTGCCCTACAACCCATTAATTGAAATTTCCATGCAGACGCTTTACTATCAATCAGCTCTGTATATTAAGAATGTATTTTGGGAGAGTTAAAGGAAGAATGCCACTACACAATCCTAAAAGTCTGGAAACCCATATTTAAAAATACATATGTAGAAAGCAAAAGAAAAGCACTATCATTCCAACAGCACGAGTTATCTTGAGTTATCAACAGAATTAGACAATAATTACTGCTCATACAGAAAAGTCATGATTAGTCCCTAGAGATGGGAACCTAAGAGAACGATACTCAAACTCTTTTTCTGCTCTCTTTTGCTCGGGACATCTGCAGGATTCATACAATCTCAGGAAGTATCAATGGCTTTGTCATTCCCCCAGAACAAATCAGCACACCACGTACTCTGATTCTTTTGATTCCAGCTCGCGTGACTTGCTGACAGTCATATAGCTCAATTCTCTCCAAGTTGTGGCAGTTCTCCAGGTGTTCCAGAGTCACATCAGTGATGAGAAGACAGTTATCAAGTTCTAATACTTGCAACCTCTCATGACCACAGGTACTGTTGCTGAGATGAAGAATCCCATCATCAGTGATCAATTCACAGTGAGACAAGCTCTAAAACAGAGAGGCAAACAGTTAATGACCTCACTTAATCCCAAATCATTCAATCCTCCAAACACCCAAGGTCCTCTTCAAACTGTATCATCATAGTGGTTAATCCAGTCCACAGAACACAGTGCTGAAATCCAGACTAGGCAGTGATAACAAAAGATTTAGCTACAGCCACAGAATGGCTGTAGTTAATTTGTAACTTTGCTTCAAAATCTGTAGTTAGTCTTAAAGTCCCAGAATGTATGTCACCGGCAAACTTGTCAACCCCCTTTGCCTTCTGTGAATGTGGAACTCTTATGCCAATTGTCATTGTCACACACCTCAGTTACTGGAGAGTCCAAACAGCATATATACAGTGCCAGAAATAGAAGACAACTTTAAAGGATGAACTTTGAGAACACAAAAGGACTGAATGGGGATCTCCAGACAGGAATTTCACAGCTACCCCAATAGAGTCAGTTTTTGTACACATCACCAGGACCAAGCTTGTTCAAGTCCACACAGATAAAGAACAACCAGACTGGACTGATTTGCCAGATCCAGTTTCAGGACAACTGCGAGAACTTAACACTTCATCTGATACATACAAAAAGTAATAAATATCTTGTAGAACTGCAAGAGCAAGTCTTTTCTGCAACAGAATCAGCACAACAAAACACAAAATAGCATGGAAAAAAGTTGCAGCTTCTCAGGCAGTAGCACCACATACAGCAGTTTCCTGGTTTCTTTAGGGAATTTATGACCTCTGCAGAAACTGCAAAATGTTGATGATGTCAGGAAACCCTTAGCCTTTCCTTGGAAGAGGCTTTAGAACCACTCTGTTGCCAATGAAATGAATGCTCTCACGTCTTCTGCCCTCAAGGTGCACGTGATCTACAGATTCTACTCCTCCCACTTTGCTTTCTCACCTAGCTCTTTCCTTTCTGCTTAGCTTTGTGTTTTGCCTACACTTGCATCTAAGTCTAGTGGTGACTGGTTTTGACATAGCTTTTCCTTGACAAAAGTATTTTTCAGACAGCAACTGAAGAAGAAATGTCTGGCAGCAAACCAAAAATGCTTTCTAACTCAGCACAAGCAAATAGCAGCACTCCGAAGTATCTCCTACCGATCACTTGAATCAAACATGCAATCCTTCCCTCCTTCCTCTCAGCACATCACATCTATCTTTTTAGCTTAGCAGGACAAGGAAGGCTACCACCGTGGCCTACCCGTATTTTATCTCGGCTAGAGTCATGAGCATTTCTTGCCTGCTACCCGAGACGCACAAAGTCAGTCCCATCCTTCAGAACAACTTGCCTTGCACCTTTCTTTTCTCCTTTGCTCAAGAGTGCGAAGGAGGAATAAGTAACCAGAAGAGAGGACGGGAGACAGGTCTGCAGCTCTCCTCAAGTCTGATGAGGAACCCACCAACATCCTCCCTTAAGCTCCAGCTGGTTCAGTTTTACTCACTCCAAGTGCACACAGCTGGCAATGATCCCAAGCAACAACATAAGTGTTCTCATTCTGCAAGTCTATTAACTCTTTAAATACTTAAGTTCTCTCATATATCTACTTTCTTTACATACACACTTTGAACATTTGAACCGGCTCACAGCCTGGAAACTAACAGCAACTGAAGAGTTAAAGAACATTTATAATAGACTGTGGTTTCAAGGAAGGACAGAAGGTTACATGAAGATACCGGTTATGGTAGCAGTCTGCTGGCTAATTAAGAGTTTCCCATCCCAGGAAGTAAGCAGCTTAGAAAATTCAGCTTTTCCGAGACACTGTATTTGGTACTGAAAGGACAATACAGGATGTACAGCTGATTTCATAGAACTTTGTAAAACAAATATGCCAAATGATACATATTTCATATTAAAACATATGATTTTTCTGTCTTCATAATCTTGTAGAAGGAGTTAATAACATGGAATTTTTGAATATTATTGTTAAAAACCTTTGGAATAAATAGAAATGGTCAAATTCTTTTTTTTGTTAATACATTTAATTAAATGCTGTCTACAAATCAAGTAAGGCATGAAATACTATGCGAGTAAGAAACAGCATGATCAACGTAACTGAAGAATTCATCTGCCTTCTCAGCTTCAGGAATATCCAAGAATATTTTACAGTTTCTCTAATAAGTTGGATACAGAAATGTTAAACAGTTTACGAGAAGTTACTTCTTCAGTTCAATAAGCTATAAAGCATTTCAGTACTTTGATACTGATGAAGGTGTAACAGTTCGTTATCATTGTTCTAACAGTGGTTTTGTTTATTTTCACTGTCTACTCAGTCGTCAAACGCTAAGAAACAAAATCGGAGTTGATTTCTGCAACTTTGAAACATTTGTTTAAAGTGCAAATATACATAAATATATGCTAAAACCCAGCCACACAAGAGTTTACAGAACCAGCAATAGTTTTATGATTTCATATTTCAAATATCAAGATTAGTTAACGTGGGGACACTTGGCATCTGCTATTCTGTTTTTTTTCCTTTCCCTGTAATTTTAAACCCAGCACTGTTCAGTCTCAACCCTTCCTTGCTACATACTTGCTATATACATGAACAGAAAGTTCAATTTCTACTTGTGCCATTTGAAAAGGGGTGTTATTTTATCAGTGCCACATTTCCCTGTCTGTGGGCTGACACAGAGGAAGGTGACAAGAAACAGGAGCAAGTTAAGAAAAATACTTGAAAATCATTAGTTTTTATGACATTTCCAGTGAAGTATTGGCAGAACTGGTACAAAATATCTCTTGCAAACTCTGGAACAGACTGGTAATATTTGGAGTTACAATACAAAAATACCCCCCTTGCCGAAGAACAGGAGGAGTCCCATAAAATGGCTCCGTGTCTCCTGGCAACCCCTGTTTGCCTTAACATGCAGAATTATGGTCCAAAAATGATGGGGGACAATTAATGAGCAAAAATAAAAAAAAAACAAAAAAAGTGAATAAGGCTCCTTTTTAAAATCTCTCTCTCCTTGTTGTTGCTACCTTAGTAACGCTGAGCTGGGGGTGCATGGGAAAAGCCAATGGTAAGGCAGTTCAGTTAATGAAGCAGCAAACCTTTCTTTAATCCTGTCTAAGAACAGATTACAAAGATACCTCTTCTCTCAGGTACATTTAAGGCAGTATATAACAGATCTACCCTTATGGCACAATTCGCCCTAAACACAGGAATCACTGTTGTGAGGTCACTCTAGCAATTTTGAGGTACCTTGACTGCAGAACAGCTAAAACAGCCACTCCTTAAAAATTAGTTCTTTAAAATAGTGCAGAGCCAGGTACTCCACTAAAGGCGCATCAGTCTTCTCCACTTAGTTTTGAAAGACTATGTCACAAAACCCAACATAATTTACTACGTAAATTCAGTCCTTGGGAAAAATTGCTTGCATGCAAAACTGACTGTAAGGTGGAACGTGCATGTTCTCATTGAGAGACTTTTTTATTTATTCAATATTTTACATATTTCAATCTGTAACTTAAAAGTGTCACAGTCCCTAAGAAAACCATTCAGGAACAGGAAAGAGTATCCATAAAGGATCTGGGTACTCTAAGCTAGAAGTTTTATTTGAACTAATTAATCACAGCTGAAAGATGTTAACCATAAAATACAAGCTTTCTGGCTACTACTGATTTGATAGTAATTTTCTGCAACACTTAAAAACATGTAAATATGTTAAGGAGTCAAGTGCTTCTTTTGGAATACTTCTGAAACTTGCATATATTTTGTGCAGTATCATACTACCTCAGGAAGCTTTTCCAGATACAGAGTGACAGCCTGTTTTTATTTTGTAGGTGTTAAAACTCACAAACACAGAGGAAAACTTACCAATGCTTGTAGCTTAGGACAGTGAATAGAAAGTTGTATCAATGTGCTGTCTGTTATCTAGAAGAAAAACACACATACACACACACAAAAAAGCAACCATAAGTAAAGACAGCGGGCAGGTCAACCCTCAAATAAGCTATCCCTTTCCATACCAGATGAAGGTACTTCTCTACCAGACACTTCTCTGGAAAACATCCCGTTACCTGTTACCCTTCATGTATTTCCATTTATAGAATTTCCCAATAATTACTTTTTATTTACTACCAATAACACAACAAGTATTAATAAAAAACAAAGTACATTTAACTCCAAGTGCTAATGTTCTTGTTGGCACTGCATTCCTACACTGGATGTTGAAAATTCTTTAATATTAAATCTCACCAGAACACATTCTTCCAAGTCCATCTTTTCCAGCTCATGGCAATTCTAGAAAACATAAACCAAACAAACAGAAGATGAAATAAACCAATATTCCAAAATCATCCGCAGGGCTCGCTATACGGGAAAGCACAGCCTCCAAGAGCAAGTTCTGAGCTAAATTGCTTCAAGTATTTGACCACAGGACAAAAAGAATTAAAAAAAAAAGAAATTCACAAACAATGCAGTCCTCCCCTACCCCCAATTTCTACGTTTCCATCCTTTTTTCTTCTTACTAGGTGAAGTTTCTCCTTCTTGCCCTCTAAAGCTTGGACAGGCAGCTATGTGAACAGTACTCACCCACCTCTGCTCCCTTTCCCTCTCGTGGGGTCAACTTCAACTCAAACCTATGGTGTTTATATCCTGTGTACTGAAGTTAACTAATCTGTGTACACATAAATCCAATTTCTGTGTACATCAACCTCCACCAAACTAATCTGAAAAACACTTCAGCCCATGAAACATCTCTCTTCACCTTCATGCTTTAGTACAAAACTTTAAAAACAATTTGCTCTGCTACTGAATGCTGAAAATATCAAAATAGAGCCCACTTTGAGACTAGAAGCTGTGCTCTGCATAATATGTGATTATGCAAGGAATTTTCCCATTATCCTGAGAGATCCTGGTAAGCTTTTAGAACTGCCTTCAATAGCTGGTCATGACTAATTTCGAGAAAATGATGCAACTGTGTGACCAGAGCTTATGTCCTCATAGTAGACCACAGGGCACTAGTGCTCAGACCTACCTCCAACCCCTGTTATTAGCGGGCACTAGCAGAAATAGTTTACCTTGCAGCTCCCAGAAGCAGGCTTGAGGTGACTACCAAAAGCCTAAGACTGTAGTGCTGACTGATCAGAAACCATTCTTTTTAACCACTGTGGCTACAGAAACTTTCACTCACATTCCAGATCAGCAGTGTAAATGAGTCCTGTTTACAGGATATTATTTTTGTGCTCAGTTTTTCTCAGCCAGCAAGCATATAACTCTAAGCATTTGATACCATCAATACACTTAGTTTACATACTTACAGTATGAATCAGGGCACAAGTGCTTACAGTTTATACTACATGGCTGTAAGTATATTTGTAGCTACAAGTTATGCTCAGAATAATCTCTCATACAATGACTTTTTGGTGCAAATATTCCCCAGCATTTCCTATCTTTACATGCAAAATTTGGCTGGAATACATAACACAAGTTTAGAGTTGTTACGTTAAGCATAATAAATCTAATTTAAAAATCCTCCTCCACTGGCTTCTTTCTCCTCTTTTTTTTTTTTTCCCTCTTCTCAGATTCCTTCCTAGCAGGTCTACGTTAATTCACAGCTGTTCAGCAGCAGTGAAAACAAGGTGAGCTTTAACTTTCAGAAGTAACCCTTACCCGTGCTAAAAGGGTAAAGCCAGCATCTGTAAGATGTGAGCATCTCGCAGCTTCCAAAATCCTGAAAAAGTTTTACATGTTAAAGAAAATATTAACATAATGAAAAGCAAATGTGTTTGCGATACAAATCTATATTTTGCAATTTAAAGCTCTTAATAGCAAATATGTACGCCAACTTTTCACAGGGATGTGCAATTAAAAAGTACTAGACAGACTTTTGATCCAGCTTATCAGAAGACTTACAGAACAGATGAAATACAATCCTCAAATGTTCTGAACAGTTAGTGGAAAAATTACACATAATCACACACATTTTAAACTCTTGCTTCAGTAAGATAACGCAATGCTCAAGTTCTCTAATGTGTTACCTGACGAAAGATACAGGAGAATACACAGAGAGTTAAGGAAAATGCTGATAAAGGCTCCAGAAAAAGCTGTTCTCCAAACATGTGATGTTGGGAAGCCACAAAAAAGAGGAACTACATACTAGAAATTCTCTCAGAGTACGTGCACAAAGCACTGTGAAGCAAGCTACCAGAAAACAAACTATCGAAGCCAAAACACAATTTTAAAGAAAATAACACAGATATATATTTCGGAAAGATAAACCTAACACCTGATAATTAACCATTTGGAGAGGCACTAGGCAGTGGAACTGACAAAAAAAATGGACAGCTGCCCCAAACAGCACCACTAGTAAGTAGGACAGGCGTCCGTGCCATTAATGGTACTTTGCAAGTGGAGCGAGTATCAAGATAAATGAGGTGAAACCACAGCACTGTGTAATCAGGACTACAAGCTTACCTGTTCACCACAGCAAACGTCTTCTACATTGTGGAGCCAGGAGGGAGGGGGCAGGGAAAGATGGTTAGAAGAACCTCTTGCTGAGGTAACACTTGGACGAATTTTATCAGTCCATTATTTAAGAGTTCATTAAAAAGCACTCTCTTTATGGACAAAACGGAAAAGCAAAAATCATGCTGTGTGCACGAGAAAAATACAAACCCACTAGGATTATGAGATGTGGGGGGCTCTCACTATGACTTTGCTGAATTAATCTCTTCAAATCAAAAGTGACAGCACAACTGGGGTTAGAGCTAAGCAGCCCCATAGGCTTGATCACTATAACTATGATAACCTGATAACTATTTCCAAATGGCTAACCTTCAACAAGGTTCAGAAGTATCCTGGGAAACCAAGATTAGCCAGCACAGAGGTACTGGGCAGGCACAACTTTCCAGATGGGATGCTCAGAACATCCATGGACTGTCCTTTTCCAGATCCACATTTGGGGACTCTGTGCATCAAGGGTAGTTAGCAACCCATCACAAAATACTCCTAGCTACTGTGAAACTTGCACAGGAGGCCAGACTGGGGGTGGGGAGGAGAAGCATGAGTCAGGTTGTGTTTGTTATGCTTCTCACTCCCTCCACTACTTATCTGCTTTTAACCCTATACTTGCAACCACTGGATTCCCAACCCCATGACATTTCTCACTTCAAAGGGGTAAAAAAGGCATCTACAGTGGGAAAATAGCGGGAAGGCTACTGCACATCTCACTGAAAAGCTCTGAAGATTACGGGTGCGGAGGCTGAGAGACCAGGAAACCAGCAGTTTTGCCTTTTCTGGAATTAGGTGTGCAGTCAGAAGAGCAGAGCGGGGAGGATAAGCTATGTACAGATATGCTGCATCAACCAGGTCCTAGCACGCGCAACATTTAGGAAGACACTGGTCAGCACAAAAATGAGTGATGTTCTAGTTTTTGCCTTGTTTTAGTGATTATATGTAATTATAGAGGCATCTCCAGAGAATTTTTTCCAGATACCAGCGGCATTTGTTTCTCATCCTGTGACTTGTGACAAAGTACCTAGCATAGGAGCTGAAGAGTCGAAAGATACCCCAGAGTAGGTTCCCCATTCTTGTAAATCCATTTTTCCTGAAACGAAAGAACCTCACAGTTGCATTCACTGCCTGCAGATGTCTTTTGGGTACATCTGGAGTATCTTTATACACAGCATTTCCCTACTCCCGCTGAATTAGCGGCGGGTAGGAGAGAATGGCGGGGCGGGGGGGGGCAGTTAAAGACGTGACTCCTAATTTTCACAACTACACCTTAACAAGGATATTCTGGAACCCACGGTGTTCATCGGTGCTTTTCCCAATAAGTTTAGTCTCACCAAAACACCTACCAGTATTTTAACATTAAAAAAATGCTAAAAAAGAAAAAATGCTAAAAAAATAAAAAAAACGCTAAAAAACGCTAAAAACAGAAGGGGGGCGGCTATTCAGCACTTTATAGAGCAGACAGAGTACTGAAAAGACTGATGTATCTTGATGTTGGAAAAGAAAGCTGATGGATACTGACCCCGAGATCCATTTGGTAGAGTTGGTCACGCTCTGAATTTTTTCCAAAGGAGATACCACTTTGAGGGAGGTAACAATTGCAGAACAGAGCACTCTCATAGAAAGCAGTGTAGCAAAACACCTGAGATCCCTACGCAACGCGGAAGTGGTACAGCACAGAACATATTCAAAAGCTCCCTAAGAGGGTCAACATGTCGTAACATGGGTATGAGAGGTCGGTTCCTGCAAGCTTTCTTTCACACTCAACAACGAAATAGTCAGAAGATATAAACAAAGGTGTAGCTACATTTCCCTTTGATTTCCCATATATTTGTAATCAAGTATTTTCAATGCATGATCCTAAAGGTCTAGCTGTAGTTATCTGTACCATTTATGCATCATGCTCACCTCTGTGGTAATCACTGCAAAGGGTCATATTTTTTCCTTATTTCCTACCTCGCTGCAGGAGAAAAATGGTAAAGCCCTCCCCCTCGTGGCACAAACAGGGGCTAACAGTTTATGCAACAGAAAGTCATTGCTTAGACCAATGACTATTTCCTGTTAAGAACATATTAAATCTTCTTCTTTAGAAAAATGATTCTTGCTACACTTGTAGTCCCCTAACTAACAACAACTAGCTGCAACTAACAGCATCTCAAAATTTCTTTTATTTCCAAATTGAGCTATGAATTGAGAGAAGCAGAGAAATCAAGAGAAAAAGACTAGTAATAACAGCACCACTTTCTAAGGAACCCACTTAATTGTGTCGGAAGATTCCTAAGCCCCAAACAAGGTCACACGTAAGCTTTTGTAACTATAAGGGTATGGGAGGGAGATCATCACTTCGGGATCCAGTTTTACCAAAGTCTTAAGGAAAGGTTTCTCCAAAGTCACAAAACCTCTTCTCACTCAATCAGATGAAAGAACTCTGTGCTATCAGCATATTGCACAATGGCATCTGAAGACAGCTTGCTTTAAATTTTATGATCTACATTTTCCTCCCCTCGTCTGTGATTGAATTGCAAGAATTGTTGCAACTCCTGCATGTTCCTCACATAACTGGCAATTTAGTGTCACCCAAACATCTTTTATTTTGATTTTGTTTGCATTAAAAGTCCACCTTACAGGAAGTATTACAAGTCTTTACAATGAGAGTGCTACTGTTATATAACCGAGCTTCCTTATTAAAGCTGAAGCTCTCCCCACTTCCGAGAACACCACCATGAGATACGCGTTAATGCAAGTTACAGCAATGTAACAGTTTACATTACTTTTACTTGACAGGTAAGTTACAGATGGTAACGATATTATAAAGCCAAGCTGGGCTTTAAAGCTGGGCTTTGCCCAGCCCTTCTGTGCTGCTGTGCTAACAAAGAGGCCAAAAGCAGGCATGGTTCCCTGCTGCGGGAGAGGCTCCAGCTAGAACCAAAGGCCAGTATCTGTTATATTACACTGAAAAATCCAGTACTAGAAATATGCAAGATGGTGACAAAGCTAATTCCTTACCGCCACATTGCAATTTGCTGCTCTCAAAATATACTAGGTTTTTACAGTTGCTCTAACAGACACTAAGAAAAGGGAGGACAAGAACCAGCTCCAGAAGCAACACATTCTAACCATCTTCTGCGCCCTCATTACCCAAAACGTATCCCACAAATACCACCGCTCCTCAGCGTTCACAGGGACGTTAGCCCATTTCATATCAGAGTCTAAGACTGTCAGGATGTACAGCAGAGCATAATATTAAAAATACATTTCTAACAAAATCTGTTAATACAGTACTTAGGTATGATTTAGCTATTTTTTGCAAGGCAAAAGATTGCATAAAACCACATTAGAGTGCACACTGTGAAAAGTGTTCAGCAG